ATCTGATTGATGACTAGCCTTAATCGAAAGTTCTCTCTCGTTATCGGGAGGGGTAATTAACTATAGGGGCTTGCGCCTATAGGAAACCAGAACTCAGATCATAAAGTCCTCGCAAAATGAGGGCGAAATCTCTGGGTAGTGTCTTATCTACAAACCCATCTGCTTTCCCAAAATTTACCCCGGAACTTAGTTCGTTAAAACTCCCTCGCCGAATAAGAAAAGCGAGCGGAGGCCGGGGCCGAATTTTCGGAGCCCACAAAAGTTATGAAGGAAGAAAAAAAAAAGTATAGTCACATGCAGGAGATGAAAGGCCACTTAAGACAAGTTTACTACAGTAGATGTTCAAACAAGGACCTCCTAAAAGCTGTGCTTGTTCACAGCAGCAAGCAAGGGACAAAAGGCTGTATTTGATGGGAAAGAACACGTGAAGGAGTTATTGAGGATCACATGGGAAGCAGGTTAAGTGGATTCGGATTGAATGAAAATGAAATGGATTGCTGTTTTAAGTTTTCAGAAGGACAACAAAGAATCTTTATAACACGTTTCAACTACTGGATACAGATGCCAACTGCTGCTCTTTCTTGTGGAGGTTTTTTAGTAGAGATAACTTAACAATGGCTTGGTTTAGAAACAAATATACTTCTCCTTGGAAGCCGCTCATTTCTACTGCTTCAAAATTCTGGAAAAGAATTTCTGCCACTGCCCTGTTGGTTAAAGGAAATTTCTCCTTTTCTGTCTCTTATAATTGTAATTTTTCAATGGAGTGGGATCACCGGTGCAATGAGAGAACTCTACATGACATTATGCCAAACTTTAGGTTCATGAATGCTTTTGTGAACTTTTATTCTTCTAACAAATGCTGGACTCTTCCTCCCTCTACTCCTTTTACTTTAAGAAATGAGATTTCGGGAATCAATATTGGTGAGCAATCGGTCGTGCTTTGGAAGGGCTCGGACAAAACTTCTTTCTCTAGCTTTTATTCCAGTTACTTCTCTAATCTTGAGGAGGTTAGCTGGCACAAATACATATGGCATAAAAGGAAATCCCTCCGTTTTTCCTCTTACTCCTGGATGGCATTGCTGGGCAAACTTAAAACGGCTGACTTACTTATTATGAGAGGGATTAATGTTCTTCCCAATTGCGCCTTTTGTTCGGATGGGTGTGATAATCACTCTCACTTGTTTTTTGCCTGTGATTATTCCTATTCGGTGATTGTTTCCCTGCTACCTAATCTGGAAGTCTTTCTCCTTAGGCCAAACTTGTTGCAGGCTTTTGAATTTTTTGATGATTCACAAATTTTCTGTAGCTGGGAGATGGTTTTTTGCTATCTTACCATTTGCAGCTCTATTTACTATTTATCCGGAAAGAAATTCTAGGAAATTTGAAAATGTTTGGAACAGCCCCACTCAGCTCTGTAGCATTATTCGGAGAGCTATTTTTGCTAAAGTGAAAACCTGGAAACATTTTGATTATCTCAACAGGCGTTTTGGCATTACTGGTTAATTTTGGCCGCCTTCTCAAATCTCACTTTCGTGTGTGGAGTGGGTGGGCATTGTTGCCTGTACTGTTTTTGGGGTTTTCTGCCATGTTCTTTCAACTTACTGGATATGGATTTATGTTTGAAGGGTGGTTCTTGGTTCCTTTTGCTGAGAAGTATTTACTATATTGGCAATTTCGAGCCCCTTCGTCCCTTCGCTTTACCTGCTAAGCCTGAACTGGACGATGATGACGCTCCCATTAGCAGGGCCCTTAGACGGTCTTCGGGCAACCAGGGTTCCACAATTCTCTCGTGTTCAATTGAAATTTTGAGTCCAGTTCGTTTAGGCTTGGGAGCTGGGTTCTTCTTCGCTGCAGGCTCTGGATCTTACCAGTTCTCTATGGTGCGGTTTCTCTTCCAAGGTTTTCATCCGGCTTCGGTCGTCTGCAGCATGTCTTCTAGTTCTACTTTTGGTGCTCCTTACCATAGTTTTGGTTATGTTTATTGAAAATTAAATTGTAATGGGTAGTATAATTGGGGTTTCTTTCTTCTTTTGGCCCTCATAAGTTTTGGTTTTTGGCTTATATAGGGCTCTTTTACTTGTAATTCCATTTAATTGTAATTTTTACTTTCTTCTTAATATATGGGCTTAGGCCCCAAATTTCCCCCAAAAAATAAAAAGGTATTTGATCAGTTATCCATTCATCAGCTTGGGGCTCACTCAAAAAAAAAAAAAAAAAAAAAAAAAAAAACGCCGGCTATCAGATCTTTGCTGCTATAGGAGCGGAGATGGAGGAAAGGTTTGCGAATGGATTCAGCAGGGAGATCGGCAAGGCTAGGGCACGGGCCGGTTGGAGCTCAGTAGAGGTAGGGGAAAAGTTTCTTCTCTCTCTCTCTCCCTCTCTATGGATCAAAGGGATCGGGAAGGTGGAGAAGGTAAAGTTCGGTCGCAGGAAGAGGCTAGCGACAGGGTTGGGAGGTCTGGAGTTGGGCCTGACTTCAGCTTGGAGGGAGATGTAGTCGGAGCTTGCGATCAGGACGGGATCGATACAGGAAGCCGGTTCTAGCTTGCGTACAAGTCCGGCGGGATCAGGTGAGCTCGGGTCGGCAAAGAGGTCGGAGCTTCTGATTTGGACCGATCTAGTTGAGTTTTGTTGTGGATTCGGCAACGGCGGTTTGGGAAGAAGCTTCGGTCGAGAGAACTAGGGGAAGGAGAGGTCGGCTGCAAGGCTTGGATCGATAGGGAAAGTGAGGGTTAGGATCTGGAGGTCGTGGGAGCTGCGGCTATGGAGTTTGTCTGAGGAGGAGAAACAACCCCAAATCCTCGGAGAAGTGAACTGAGTCGTCGTATACGAGGTATGCAGAATTTCTTGCGGATTTTCTGGAATTTGGGTTGGGGTTTCAGCTCTATATCTGTCGGTCAACCTCAGATTATTTAGTAGATCTCCAAAAACTTACTATATGGTCTATCAAACACTTGAATCTTTAATCTTTTCAATTTACCCATTAGTGTAGTTAATCATGGGCAAACAAAATTCGGCTAATCAAATTAGGGATGCCCCTGGCTTGAACTATCTTAGTCAGCTTTTGCTTGCAGCTATTGCCAACCCAGTACATCACTGTCCTTTGTTATCTCCCTCCTACCTTTTGTTGCTTGCCTGATGTTGGACAAAGGTGCTTGCTGCAATTGCCAACTATTTCCTTATTGCTTGCGGAATTCGTGTTCATAAGGAAGGAATTCAACATTTGAACCTGCAGGGAAATCAGAGTTCATAAGATTTGAACCTGCAACGCAAAAAATTAGAAAGGAAAACATAGGTTAGAAAGTACCCGTGTAGTAGAGTTATAAGGTTCGTCTTTAATTGATGACTGTATGGCCATTGTATGTTATTGTCATCAATGCTAAGTATATGATGTAGTTTTTCATCGGACACCCAATGTGTTGCACCCGACAATTCAGATAATGATGATGAGTATAATTGTTTTCTTTTGACTCTTGCTAGAATGCTGCCATTGTATTTTCTTTCTGAAGTTTTGAAGTTTGTAGAGTGAAAATCAGCTTCTCGGATTTGACTGTGCTCCTTAGGAGCTCATTACCCTTATTTAATTGCTTTTATAAACTAAAGATGTTTCAGTTTTACATAGTTTGCTTGCAATGTCAATGCTATCTGTTGATGATATCTTGACTGTTTCTTTCAGGGGCTATATTGAAGCAATAAGGGAGATAGAGCAGCAAACTAAGTGCAGTTTTGGAGTTTATTTTGATGATATTGCTGTGGCGTGCGGCAGGTTTTACTCTATTTTGTAGTAGATTTTGCATTATAATGATACCTTCCTTACTCTTATAGCAAGTGCATTACTGTTGCATGTCCTTTGAAAGTTAGAACAAGTGGAAGCAAAATGCAGTAGCAAAGTAAAAGGTGAACATTTGGTTTTTCCCACTTTATAATAAGCAAGATGCTAAAAAACCTTATCTTTTGAGAATATTGTTAATGTTAAAAAATAAAAAAAATCATGCATTACTAAGTGATAAATTTTTTATGATTATACATTATATTATGCTCATCCCAAGAGTTGTACAGCTAATAGTGAAAGTTTTAATGTCAACAACACCTTAAACAGGCAAAAAAAAAAGTTTCATAATTCAAGTGCTTGTAACGAGAACCTTGAATAGGACAAACTTTTAATATAAACATTATGTATAATTGCGAAAATGCTATTCATAAAACCAGTGCATGGTAAGGTGGAGCTAAACATCATTGAGCCTGTTTAGAGATTAAAGGGAAAATTTCACACGCTTGCTCCTTTTAAATTTAAAATTCTTCCAAAAATTTTCAATTATCATTTATTCTTTTCTTCTCAATTCAAACTTTAATAAACTTCTTTATTTTCCTCGTCTCCTTTGACTTCCTTGCATGACTCCCCAAGCAATGGAATAGCTTCGATTTGTTCCATTTTCCTCCCTTCGTCTCTCTCGCGACCTTAAGCTTCAGAACGACAAAACCCTTCAGCCCCTTCGTTTTCACGTGCCCAGGTAATGAAAGCTCATTCTTCTCCCTTGAGACAAAACCAGTTCGGGATATTACAGTTGACTACCTTTAAACTATAGAAAAATGAAGTTCCACTCACAGCCTGATAACTTAAACCGAGATTACAATATTAATTATGATCTACAACATGAAAATTACGTATGGATTGTGTTTCATTATTTTTTGTATCGAGATTGAGTGATGCAATATGAATCTAATAGGATAGTTACAAAACATACAATCAACATATTAGCTAAATGAAAAAAGATGCTATCCAGCTAAATGAAAAAAGATGCTATCTAAAGTGGTTGCAATTGGTTAGTGCATTCTTATGGGAAAGAGGAAAATTTGGCCATTTACTTGACACCAAGCACTAAGCAAAAGGGTCCCATTCTTAAAGTTTGATGGATAGGACTCATTGGTGATCACGTAGTCATGAAATTCTATGGTTCTAGAAACAAGTGATACATTCATATTTCTCTATCAACAAAAGAAACATGTGATACGATAAATCAAAGTATACTATAGTCCGTGATGTTGCACAAATCTATGAAGTCAAGACTATGATCTCATCTACAAAAGAAGGCGATCCATCGTAGAATTTTTGAACCTGTTGCAAAGGTTATGGTAAGAGATGTATCGCTATCAATTTATTCAAATGGAATTAAACAACTATGCAGCTCTTTTTTAAAGGTCTATTGAAAAATGGCTAAATTCTTGATTCTCTTATTGGTTAAATGTTGAGTTTGATGTTGTAAGGGTATAAATTCTCGGAAATGATTATTTACCATCACTAAACTAGGTCATTTCGATTATCAATACAGAAGAAGGAAGGAGAATTATGATTAATACCAACCTTGTGGAGGGCTCTGCCTTTGTGCTAAAAGTTGCTAAAAGTTGTCGGCTTAAAGAACATCAACTCAAAGCCCTCTGCTATGAAGGACCACCAACAATTGATTGCAACAAAAATGGTCAATAAAGATACTTTATGGTGCACATTGCAAAAAAGCTCGACATATGAAGAAAACAAGCGAGAAACTTCATGGCAAAATCATAAAATGGAAATTGTACTGCATGTGGATAGAAAAAAGAACAGAGATAGAAGGCAATACCAAAGAATCATCTATTGAGTCCCAAAATAAGAAATAGACATGTTGGAAACTTTGTTGGGTTCATTGAAAAAATATCTTCTATTGGTACTTTTATTCTAGCATTCTCAAGTATTATATGCGGTTCGTATGCATTTGACGTTCAAATATGTCCATTTTTAGCTTTGGATTATTGATTCAGAAGCCACAAACTGTATCATTAGCCCCTCAGAAAAATTTATTTTATATACTCACTATTCTCACAATTGAAAATTAATGATTGCTGATGGATCCTTATTAATCATAACTGATTAAGGAGATATTTATATAAGAAAATCCATCACACTCTAAAATATCCTCCATGTACTTCAATTATTTACCGACTTATTATTAATTAAAAAATTGATTAGATATTCTGAGTATAGTGGTGTGTTTTATCATCTATGTTGAGTCATTTAGAAATAAGGCATGAGAAGAATGATGGGACTTGTTAAAGAAAGGGATGGTCCCTTAACATCTTGAGGAATCCAATGATAAAAAAATTCCATATAAACTTTCTTATTATCTCCTTTTTCATTAACTATAAATCCAATAAAGAAAATATTTGGCTTCAACACCTATGTCTTGATGACCCATCATTTGTTGTTCTGAAAACCACGATTCTTTTATTATTCAAAGAAATCAATATTGAAGATTCTTAATATGATGTTTGTAAAACAACAACAACAACAACAAGTCTTTATCCCACTATGTGGGGTCGGCTACATGAATCCTTTTTCTCCATTGTGCCCTGTTAAAAGTTAAATTCTCATTTAAATCTAATAAAGAAAGGTCATTTCTAATATTTTCTAACCAAATTTTTTTAGGTCTACATCTTCCTTTCTTAACATAAGTCAAATCTAATTTATCTACTTTCTTAACTGGGTCATCGAAAAACTACTGTTTTATGAGACCAAACCATCTAAGGAGACTCTCTCTAATCTTATGTTCCACCGGGGCTACTCCAACTTTTCACGAATATGCTCATTTCGTATCCTGTCTCTAAGAGTAAAGCCACTCATCCACTTGAGCATCCTCATCTCTGCAAAACTTAACTTAATATTATACTTCTTTTTTAATGGCCAACATTCTATACCATAAAGCATTGCAGGTCTCACCACCATCTTATAGAGTTTTTCCTTAAGTTTGAGAGACATTTCTATCACACAACAAGTCTGATGCATTCCTCCACTTTAACCATCCAACTTGCATTCTACTAAAAATATCTTCATCTATTTCTCCTTTACTCTAAATAGTAGACCCAAGATATCTATTGATCACCCAAAGTCATAATCCCCCCACTAAAACTATTATTGCTAAAATTATACTATATATATATATATATATATATATATATTCAATTTTAGATCTACTCA